GGGTGTTTGCAGTCACCAGGGTCTTGGGTCTACAGGAAGATAAGACATGGGGAGGCTATACAGTAGTCTCTGGCCTTCCTGAGTATTCATCAAAAGAGGTTTGACAAGAGAGGAGCCCTCTATTTAAGCCCTCATTTGATCTGGCAAGCAGCAGGTGATCCTCTGCCTCTTTTTGTGTCAGACCACAGGGGTTTGCCGACCCCTTGTGACCTGTCTTACCTGGCGCCCTTCAGGAAACCTCATTTAGAGAGGAAGAGAGAAGCTAATTCAGCCCTGGGTATCCGCCCATTGTGGATCTCCACCTGGCCACAGGGTTGCAAGGTCAGCTCCACAGTGAGACAGAAGGGATGCTAGTGGCCTACTTTACTAATCCCCTCACGTACTGGGAGGTGTTGGAGGACCCAAAGGTCAGAGATGGAGCAGAGAAGCCATCTTCTTGGTTCTTTTAGACAGGATTAGAAGCCCAGCAGGAGTGAAGCTTCAGGAGTAAGGCCTCACACTTGCAGATCATGAAGACATTTCTGAGAAGAGCATAAGGTGGCTCAGCTTTGGTCCACTTCCCACCTACGATCTCATAGAGATGGAACCCATCCAAGTAGCAATGACACATGCAACAACAGTGAATCTACTGGAAACAGAAATGATATGCAATATTGTCAACTGCGGAAAACCACTCCTTTTTATGGTTCTCTCCAAGTGATTGTTTGTTTGTTTGCTTTTAAGAAGCAGTTCTCGATAGATGAGAGTCAAGCAGTTGATCTTTAATGAGAAGGAGAATCCTCTCCCTTTTCCTGGCATTTCTCCATACCTTATCTGGAACCCCACCCCCTTTGCTACCCTTCATGTGTGTCTCATCATTTGTGGGTGAATGACTGCTCTTCAGAGAGACTGTGTCTTTGAGAACTTATGATTAATGCCCTCTGCATATAAAGCAAAAGACCTGGCATTTTCCTATACAAACAATGATGCCACAGAAAAAGTGCTGGTAAGATAAACACACAGGCTGCTAGTACTTCATAGACACAGATATAAATGTGCATCCTGACAGTCAAATCATTTTCTCCCAGATCTCTAGATACACCTACCTTGGCCCAATCAACGCTTCTGCACTTTGTATCTCACCATTTGTGACAGTCTCTCACCTCTGAAAACACCCCAGAAGCCCGGCCTCTCTCATCAGAAGCTTTTCTCACAACAAAATTAGCCACAGTATGGGCGAGAAAAAAAAAAAACAATTTTAAGAGTGAATATATCCAGTGCTAAATAAATATGGAAACATAGATGAACACAAAAGTTCAGTGGGACCAAAAATAGAAATCCATTAAACAGAAAACACTTATGAGGAATTGCATTTGATTTTTTTCCTTTAGTGGAAAACAATAAAAAATTGCAGAACGCATCAGAATGAGCTTATTAATGATCACCACTCTAAATGTTTGTCATGTTCAGGGGCGTTTAGCAGAGGCTATCAGATAACCATAGTGATAAAACCTAGAATAGCATTAATGCAAGGGCAACTGTTAACATTTCAGATTAGCTCCATGGCTGAACCTCTGGGTTCATTTGGCTACATTTGCTTCCATTTTCCACTGAATAAGCAGATCCAGCTGGCAGAGATCCACACACTGTAGCACTCTGTCTCTGTCTGAGCCAACTCAAATCACGTTAGCCAGTCAAATCAGGTTAGGTCCTCTTTAGCGTCAAGCATATTTTTAATTCAAAGCATCACTTCATTGGCACTAGACGTGTTGGCATGCCAGAGCCTGAGTTGTCAGTGCCTCTGCACTGATCCACATCCACTGGGGTCAGACAGATCAGGATATTGAGCCAGTGTGTGTGTGTGTGTGTGTGTGAGGGGAGGAGTTGGACTATGCAATATTTTAGGGTTGGATGAGAAGAGTTACTGACAATCTGGCAGTCCTTCACACTGACATGTGTGTTTGATGGTACACACAGCCCGTCATCAGCTTCCGTGACCCAGTGCTGTCAGCGCAGGTCGGGGGTGTGACAATATGCTGCTGTTTGTGCTGTGGAGGACCACAGTTTGTTGAGGGTGGGTTGGTGGGGGCCTGGATAAGAGTGGAGGTTGGAACTGAGGACAGGGGTTGTGTCAAGCCTGTCAGTCTCTGTAGTTATTGTAGGGCATGAAAAACAGCCACCAGAATGTTTTCCCACCATCCTCACTGATTTCCAGCTTTACAAACACATAAATCAGAACCATGCAATCATTTCTCTGTATTTTTAAAGGCATGCACTCCCACGCATGCGTATGCACAGACTAAATTCTTCTAAATCCTCTCTAAATCTTTTTTGATAATTCAAATGAGCTTCATCAAAATTGACAGTCATCCATGTCACTTTGACATTCTTGTAGTCATTCATTTCTAAGACACTACAATTTCATGTAAAACCCACACTTGAAGACCAGAGTAACACTGTGTCCTATCAATAATAAATCAGCAGGGTGAATGCAGAACAGCAGCGGTACACTGCAACAGTATTACATAGCTTTTCACTGCCAGGACGGTAAAGACATTGTTAAAATCTGACAACGAACAAAGGTGGATTTATCAACAAACCCTACTCTTATCCCATTCGCTGCCTGTCCATTTCTATAATCAAAAGGTTTCAAAAAAGCAAAGAGATGTACAAGGTTCAAATGAAAGATAGTTCAGCTCTCAGTTAGAACTGAATTTTCTCTTCTCATGTGCCAGAGGCCACAATTGCCACATGTAAGACTAAATAAGATTCCTTGACCATAGGTGAAATTAAAGAAAAAAATATCACAAGGCTCATGCTGAGCTGCATAGGCTTTAAGTTGCAAGAATAAAAGCAAAACTCCTCTATTTAAAAATATATTACACTGTGAGCTTTTTCACCAAATGTGTTATCACATGATTCCTGAAGAATCACTAATGACTTCACTGTCATAGACATTTTACTAATATCTTGCTAATGTCTTTCTCTAGCACTGTTTCTCTGATTCTGCCATGGCAATTAGCTGCACCCTAAATGTATGGAACAATTATGTTTTTGAAAATAACTTGCAGGTTGTTCTGACTCATATACATACCAGGAGGTGGAGTCAGGTGCTCTGATTGTCTGAGGCTAATAACAGTAGAGTGGGAGGAAGAGGTGCACAGAGGAGAAGTTAAAAAGGCTATAAGGTTTTCATTGGGTGTAGGCGGATGTTTGGGTCTAAATGTGTGTGTGTGTGCGCTTGGATGATAGTACAGTCTAAGTGTAGGCACAGTGTGGAATGTTAACCCTTTTCTGATAAATGTGTGGGATGTAAGAATCATTGTGAAGCCCCAGAGCCAATCCGCCCAGGACCCTCACTATAGCCTGAGGGCCTCCTCAGTGTCTGTCTCTATTTTTCACTCTCCTACTAGTGACACACTCCAGGATTGTCTGCAAAAAATGTTTTGATGTCAATTAGTAATTTTTTTTGTAGGAAATTCCACAGCTTAACTTAAAAGATTTTCAACCAAACCATCCTAAAATTGGCTATGACTTGAGAGTTGAATCAATAAATAAAAGCTTCTGAGTTTGATACAGGTAAAAAATACAATTCGCCAAATCAAATTCACATCAAACTGAAAATTATTTCAACATTTTGCCATCATTAAAAGCGGCCCACATTAAGCCAAATGCACAATGCCCTCCTCTGTTGAAACTGTGAATTTGCTGCTTTATTACAGTACAGAGAGAAGCCTTATTCTGCAGCAACCCTAATAACCGTGCGCAGCATCAACACACAGACATTACAAAACGTGTGAAATACAAATGGCACAAATGCTTTGTAAATGTAATTTCTGCATTTGAACTGATGAGTGGCGTAATGTACAGAGCTGGAATCAAATAACGATTGTGCGAGACAAAGACGATAGTGATGCAGAATCAGTGTGTGATGAAGCTGAGCAGCAGACAGAATAAGGTGGTTTTGATCAGGAGTTTCTCTGGGATAATTGTCAGGATCTGCTGTTTGGAAGAAGACTGACAAAAGGAAAAATCTGACGGTGGAATTTGTTGGGGAAACACGAAAATGTGTCAAACATCCATCAAACAAAGAAATGCAGTATTTATGGATTCTCGAAGAACATCTCTCTCACACATACACGCTCATGTGCATATTGTCAGTGTATATGCATATTGTTAAGGTCTGCAGCATCTTCTCAACAGATCATTTCCCATGTCGTCATGCGTCTCCCTAATGTTCGCTCATAAAAGGATTAACATGCAAAATAGGCAGTTTACATAACAATGCCAAGAGTGTTTAAAAGCCCACGCTTCAAAACATGATTGTGATGAGCATGTGAAAGTTTTAACAGAGCTCAGACACACGGGAGAGGGATTCTTTTCTTATACTACTAATAATGGAGTTGATTAAAGGACTACAGAGACAGTACAACACACTGACCATTTCTAGTAATGCTTATAATTTATAAAAAGAACATTTTCAACAATTTTTCATGAACATTTTTTGCAGTTCCTTGATTTACTTTTTTCAGTACTAGAGCATGGAAATCCTGACATGTAGTGAGTAATATTATAATTGAATGGATAACTTATGTCCTATTAAATTTAGACATACTGTAGTCATATATTTTTAAATACTAAATAAAATAAGTACAGTTTTATTACATGTGCTAAACAAGTTTTTGATATAACACACAAATATGCACTTGCTTGCATAGTAAGTGCGCATACATGCTGTCAAGAAATGCTTATTTTATTTTATTTTATTAGATGAGGGCACATTGATTAATTAGAGCTATCTGTCTGAAGACCTCCTGGTATGGTTAGAGAACTTCTCCTCCCTCACCTCTCTCTGTCTTTAAAACACACTCACACACCTACTAAGAAAACAAAACCCCACTAATCATTTGAAGCCTGTGCTTTGTAGGTGGAGCCCAGTCATTATGAAGCCTCAGCAGTGTGGGTTTTTGTTGGTTTTAGCTTTGCATCCTCAATCAATTGCTAATAGGAAGAGCTTTTACCAGGGTTTTAATGCAGCTGTACAAGAGGTGGGCCGGCCCATTGTCTGGGTCTGAAAGGCTGATCGGAGGGGACTCCTCTTGCGTTTCTTTATATTCACCTTCTGGGCCCTATTGGGTCTCTTTCTGTAAGAAAAAGACAAGGGAAATGAATAAAGAACACAGGCAAAGTGTGGGCCCGCTCAGCCGGCCTACGGGTTAATCAAGGAGCTACTCCACAGAGAAATCTCCACAGAGCCTCACAGCTCTGGTAGTTAAGCTCTCCCCTTCTCTTTCCCATGCCAATTCAGACACGCTGAGGAGCTGGGCCGGACCAACAACAGTGGGCCATAACACAACCATGAGCTAATGATATGCTACTCTGAAATGAATGTCGGGGATTGGAGATGCAGAGAAATGAGAAAGACAGAGAGGAGAAACTTTATGAATCGCAAAGAAATACAATTTTGCGAGTCTGAATATATGAGAAAAAGAATAAAATGAAATCTAAAACAAATTCCAAAGTATTGTACTGAAGGAAAATATGTTTTTCAGAAAGTTATTTTGCTTAATACAAACACTAGTTACATACAAACACCCACTGCAGCCCTGCTCAAACTGCAGCAGAGACTCTACATTGAGTTTACAAAAACACAAATGCAATACACACAGGTACACAATATAAACTTTTTTGTTATTTAGATTTTCTTTGTATTGAAGTACTTTGGTAAGTTTTGCATACTTAACGTAGTCAGCTATGCACATAAGCAAATTCGGGGGGGAAAAATCCAAACACCTACTGTGATGATTTAGCACATGTACAACTTGCTAAGGTGATGTAAGTGAATTTCTGGAAAATAATAATAATAAATTGTAATTTTATCAAGAACACGTTATTTGCAGCAGTACAGAGAGACAGCATCTGCTCGCTTTCAAAACCTTTAAATGATGCTCTTACCCCATCTAGTGAAAAGAAAGAGTAATTCCCATCATCCACACGTGTGTGTGTGTGTGTGTGTGTGTGTGTGTGTGTGTGTGTTTGGGATTTCTCTTAAATAAACCTCTCAAAAAACTAAATTAAAAGAGAAAATAAAATCAGGAATATATTTCAAAATATGATGTATATGAATCACATGTGGAGATTAAGCAAAACCAGCAAATACATAAAAGGTCTTAGCTCTGCTGACTGTGTATTAGTTTCACTTTAATATTCCTCACACAAAAACCACAAGAGGGCATTATTTAATCAGGGCATTGTGGCAAAATCTATAAATCTGTTACATATTACAGCTAAACTGAATAATAAATATACAGCATTAACATACTCAGTTTAGGCAAAAACTGGGAGAGTGTTCAGTGAATCCAGAAATGTTGTTATTATTATTATTATGTTTCAATTAACATTTAGACACCTGTCACATTTCAGGATAACAATATGCTATTTCATAGCACAAAAATTAGGTAAATACTAATTCTAAAACTGAAGTTCAAAGCCTCCTTTGGAAACATTTTTAAAGAAATAAATGATCAGGTCATCACTGATAAAAGTTAATGTATTTATTTATAGATGTTCTATGGCTATTCATTAGTTGAAATAAATTACCAACGTGTTTTCTGTAAAACGTTCAACCCGGCATCGATGACATTTTCCAGATAAAACGTGCAATTTGAGAAACACGGAGAGTGCTCTGGAATTATGCGTGTTCTTTAAACGTCAGATTTGTCAGAGACAATGTAGACCGGTGACTAATGGCTGATCCACCTGACAGGGCTTTTTGTTGAAGTCCACAGGAAGTCCACAGCAAGCCTTCAGTGCTCTCCAACAGGGACTGATGTACTTATAATGCTCTCCAACAAAAGAGATGGTGGCAATTAGGAAAGAGAAAGAGAGGAGGGTGCCAGAGATTATAGCGACAGAACGTCAACATCCAACACACGTCCGAACATCTGTGAAATGTTTCACTAAAAGGTCTGTAACTGTTAAACAGAATATGAATAAAAATATGTATTTGTTCATGATTACTGTAGCAAAATTGGTGTTTTTTTTATATAAGAAAATACATATATGTTTAGGTACAGTTTCCTTTGTCATAGCTGTCTGTCATTATATTTGATTTTGTTTCTTGGAATAAATGAGGTATGCAACCTGTCAACCTGAGAAAATTTTTCTGTATGCACATGCTGATTCAATTTTATTCACTTTAATTTTTACAAGCTATGTTCAAAAGCTTATTTTGGCTGATGTGCAGTGTTTGAGTGCTGATTTTGACAGGCACTCACTGCAGAAGGTCAGCAATTCACCTGCAAGTCAAGAAATTACCCTGCCTAATTTTTGCTGTCCTTCAGGTGCAGCCTGACAGCCTCCTTTGCATTCTAATGCAGACAACCTGATTATTAAATCTTAAAGGGATTTTTTTTGGGGGGGTCTGAAATAAATGGTTGGGTTGCTGGGCAACGTGACTTGATCAAACACAGATTCCCTCCCCCATTTTGAAGCTCATAATTCTTCGTCTACATTCAGACACCTACTTCTTAATTAGATTAAGATGCATAACCCCCAACTGGAAGCAAATTCACACTGATTTCCAAATCTTTCTCTCTCTCTCTCACACACACACATTAAAACATCATCGCTTTGGTTTACATGTACACACATTAAAAAATGTAACAATCAGGGCAAAAGGTATTGACAGTAATGTCGATTTTTTTTAAATGTAACATTTAAACCAGAATGTTATGAACAATTCATTGTAATATTAAGGATTAGTTTAGTATCAGAATTTCAACTGTAAATAGTACTTTAACCTTCTAATAGAAATTAAAACAATATGAAATGAAGTAGAAATAATTTCAGCAGTTTGAAAAGCTTTGTCATTTATCATTCAATTATACAACACAACTAACAGCCCAAACAGTAGAACACACTCACGGCCAATTACACAAACACACCCCGGCTCGCTGGCAAGAGAGAGAGAACAGTGCCAACAAACGGGCCATACATTACTCTATCTGCACACTACATGCACCCATTTTACCCACATTTGGAAAGGTGAGGACACTGATATAAAGAGTCATTTGGAGGAGCTTTGCACTGTGAAGAACTGGATTTACACCAAAATGCCTGCACCCTGTCTGTCCTTCTCCACAGTTCACAAGTTAGCGTGTGCAAAATGATGAAAGATGATGTGTACTTTTCACTCTCTGGTGATTTAAATCCTGGCAACCATTTACAAATAAGCATATCTTATTTTGCTTCCTCAATATAACATTTCCATCTAAACTCAATGAGAGAAAAATCTGAAACATTTTTGCACCGCTTGCATTTGTCTTCAAGGTAAAGTTTAAATGGGTCATCAAATTTCATTCAATTCTCACTGGTTTGACTGTGGAGGAAGAAGTTGTACGCATAGCAAACCAAGGACAGCCGGATTTGCCATAAAGAGCGTGCCATTTTTGCTCTCCCTAGAGCTGTGGCTTTGATTGAATCCTGAAATGAGTTGAAATGTCACAAATCCCTAGCAATATGCTAGAAATGAAAATTTGCCTTGGGGTTTTAAGGTTCCCATTAACATTCTGTTAAGTGTGGTTGGAGTGCATCAAAAATACATCATAATTATGCGTCTCTGTGCACTCAAGCAAAATGTCCCTAAAATTCCTCAATGCTGAGCAAGTCTCATTGGTGAAGTGCAAGAGAGCTCTGGATCAGCCCTCAGCAGGACTGAAGAGAGAGAAAGAGCAAGAGGCAGCTGGGTTAGAATTAAACCTGACAATATCTGAGCAAAACTGGAGGAATTATCACATCAGACTGGCGCCACAAATCTGGATAAATCCTGTATTTTATTTCAGAATGCTTATCATATAAAAAGTTTATTAGAAAAAAATAATAAACTGTTCCTCTCTATCAGAATCTCCTCTCAAACTGACAATGCCTGTCTCGCTCTGAATGCAGTGATGTGATACAACCGTCCTCCTTCCATTCTACCTCTCATTTCTCAGCTGTATTTTCAGGAAACAGGAAAATGTCTCCCCTCGCTGCTTAGTATTCACGTCACGTAAAATGGGTCTGTGTTCCTCATTTAGTTCTGTACTGTACAGCTGGAGAGCCGTCCGCCGTGCTGCGGCAGTATGCAAATAAGTCTGGATTTGAATGGATATGGAGGTAGACACAAAGCTCAATTAGAGACAGAGAGAGAGAGGTGGCGAGGGAGTGTGGAGTGTCTGAAGGGGAGGGGGAGGGGAAAGAAAAACCCTGGGCTGCTTAATGCCAAC